AAGTATACAGGGATATAATTTGGACATAGATCACAGTATCGTAAGCTTGAAAAGTCAATAGGGCACAGATGTTTTGGACCCTTTCTTGTTATCGATTTAACGCTGTCATGCACATTCCTGTTTAATTTTGTTAATAGTTTCTTTTTTAAAGACACACACATGAGAACTAGATGCAAATGTTAATACTCCTGTTACCACCCGCGCGAGATTTGTTTACTCTCGAGACATGATGGGCGTGCCACCTTCGCCTATTTGATTAGAAATGGTCCTGTAATATGAACAAGAGTGCTGTCTGGAGTTCACAGGCGAATGGCGGAAATCACATAGGTAAGTGTCTATAAAAAAGAGACGGGGTTATCATCAATACATACTTCCTTAACTTGAGAAATACTATCTAATTGGCATACACAATGCCATTCATTTGCTGTCACAATGAGTCCTTATTAATGTCACTTCCAGCAACTTTAGATGCCAAATCTGCATATTTCTAATATCATGACATTTCCAAGAGAGTTAATGGCGTACATAAAATGCAATACTATGTCATATCTCATCGTTCAAAAGCTGTATAGAACATAGATAAGTATTGAGTTTTTATGGTGGTATTTACGGTTATTAAATAAAATTTACGGTTATTAAAAGAATATTAAATAGGTACAAGTATACATAGATGCGACATGCTTATTTATATCATATTTACCAATGGAAAAAGACGGACGGCCAAGCCATAGTTAACATTTGCTAATTTTTTGCATGTATGTTCAAGGTAATTTAGTCAATCGGAAATTCTGTGCCTTAGGAAATGTGGAATGCAAATGCTGGCTAATGAAACAAATGTTTTGACCAAAACATGATGGACTATCTAATATATAAATTCAATATACAGCCCTCAGTAAACTAAACTATATGTGAGTATTTGTGTATATATATACATATACATACATACATACACACACACACACATACATATTTACATATATGTAAGTTTGTAAGTATGTATGTACTTATACTTTATGTACTATATGTATATATATGTATATATATATTATATATATAATATATTATAATATATATATATATATGTATATATGTATATGTATGTATGTATGTATGTATGTGTGTGTGTGTGTTGTATGTATATGTATGTATGTATATAAAGATATTTGTGTATACATAATCATATATATATAATATATATATATATATATATACATATGTATATATATAATATATTATATATAATATATAATATATAATATATATATATATAATATGTATATATATATATATATATAATATATACATATATATATATATATATATATATATTATATATATATATATATATATATATATATATATATATATATATATATATATATATATATATATATATACATATATATATACATATATATATAATATATATATATATATATAATATATATATATATATATACATATATATATATAATATATATATATACATATATATATATATATATATATATATATATATATATATATATATATATATATATAATGTATAGACATACATGCATGTATATATATATTTGTGACTAATGGACATGATGTTATCTCACTTTCTTCAAGATGTAAAAATAACTATTTTTGGCCTTGATTTTACTTAGAATGACAATGGCAGATGGAATTGTTTTTCAGTGGCAAAAAAAAAATGTATACACACACACACACACACACACACACACACACACACACACACACACACACACACACACACACACACACACACACACACACACACACACACACACACACACACACATATATATATGTATGTAAAGTAAGAGGAACATCTTAGTTTCCTTTTTATATATTCCTAACACCTGTTTGCCCCCCCCCCCTCCCTCACCATTTTTTGGAGAGAAAACTTAGGCAATATGAGATTTAAGAAAATATTGGAGGGAGTGTTCATTTTGATTTCATATAACTTACATTCCACCCCCCCCCCAAAAAAAGGTGATCCTTAACCTCATGGGAGAACAAACATGGTGGCAGGGCATGGCGAAGGCCCGCATTTCAGCCAAATGTTGCACTTGTGGCCATGCAAAGGTTTCCTCGGCTGATCCCGAAGGCGATAACCCAAGATTTGTTTTTTTTTCCGCCTGCGCCCTCCCCCCCCACCAAGACGCCACTACATGGCGACTGGTGGTGACGGTGGCGGTGCTGGCGACGCTGATGGCCGTGGTCCTGGTGGGCGCGGCGCGTGGGCGTGCCTGGCGGCGTGCGGCACAGCGGCGGCCGGGGCAGGCGGCGCTGGTGCGAGTGGCGGGGCCGGCAGCGCCGCCGCGACGACGGCTTCCCGCCGGACCACCGCGAGATGATCGAGCTCGGGCGCCTCCCGGGCAGCCAGACCCTGAGGGAGTGCGGCCGCGCCCCCGCCGCCCGCGACCAGTCAGGTTGGCCTCCTCCTGTGACACTTCCCCGTCCTGTCCCTCTCTCATTTCCCTCAGGCCTTTTCCCCTCTGGAGTTCCCTCTCTTCGTGTCCACTTCCTTCCTCATGTCGCCTCTTCTCTTCATTCCCATTCATGTCTACTTCCTTTCTTCATTTTCGTTCCTTCCATGTCCCCGCTCTCACTTCCCGTCCAATCCTCATTTTCCTTTCTTCACGTGTCCTCTCCCTTTGTCCCTTCCTTTACGTCCCCTTCCATTCTCACTTCTTCCTCCCTTCTACCCCTTTCCCTGTTCGTGTGCTCCGCCTTCGTTCCTTTCGTTCATCATGTCCTTTTCCCTCATGTTTTCTTTCCTCCTGCCCCCGTCCCTTCTCAGTTTCCTCGATGCCCTTATAAACTCCCATTCGGATATTTAGAGTAACTGATTTAAGGAAAAGATTTATTTTGTCTCATTTGACCGCAGGAGAAGGAAATTCTCATGATTCTACCGGCAACTAAGCTGCCTCGGGCACATGGCGAGCCGAGATCAATCCATTGCCGTTGTGTCCCCAGGCATCTCCAGGGGCCTCGGCCTCGGCGTGTCGTACCCGCCGGACCAGATCCCCGCCCTCCCGGCGCCGCGCAGCTGGACGCCGAGCCCGCCCTTCAACCCCAATGAGATCCAGATCCAGCCCCTGACGCAGACGCCCGCGCAGCACGCCTCGCCCTCGTGCCGCCAGCCACTGCACGCCTGCGTTCAGTCGCGCAGCACTCCCACGTGTCTGCCCTCCCGCCACGCGCCGACGTGCTTGCTGCCTCGCAGCACGCCCGTTGGCACGAACACGCAGCCACCGCTGACCTGCACCCAGCCCGGCTCGGCCGGTACCAGCCACGCCTGCACCCAGCCCAGCCGCGCAAAGCACGCGCCTCCGCCTGCAGGTGGTGCGGGGCCCGCCCAGGTGATCGCCAGGGCCCGGCTGAGGAAGTACTGGGGCCGCCCATGCACATCGCCCTACAACCCGCGTCACAACACACCCAACACCGACCACTCGTCGCTCCCCGACATCACCAGCAGTTCCTCCTCCAGCATTCCGTCCGAGTCCGCCAACATGGCCTACCCGCCCCCCTGCTCCTACTCCTCCAGCGAATTCAGCTTTGAAGTGATTGAAGCAAACCCCAGGAAGGTCCTGGCGCAGCCCCGGCGCCCCGCGAAGGCCCAGGCGGCCCAAGCCCCGCGCAGGAGGACGAGGAAGCACAGGCCGAACCTGGCGGCCTCGGAGGCGAGCAGCGCCAGCAGCGGACACCAACGCCTGAGGGTCCCTGGGCCGCCCCCGCGCCAGCCCTCGGCGGAGAAGAGCCCGAGCCTCCTGCGGGGGGCGGCCACGGGGGAACTCGCGTGCGCCTGCTCCAGCCACCCCTGTCTGCTGCCCAGATCTGACAACGACCTCCCGTTCCTGTCGTCGCGCTCGGCCCACCTTCGGGACCTGTCCCTAGAGCCCTTGCAGAGCTCAGGGGCAGCCAGGTTCTCGGACGCGAGGAAGCCCGCGCTGCGCCACTACAACACCCCGGTGGCGCGCCCAAAGAGCTTGCCCAGGAGAGCGGGGCCCGGTGCCGCAGGGCTGAGCGTGCCCAGGCGCAGCAGAGGCAGGCCAATCACCAGTAGCAGGTCCTCGTGGAGGAGATACCCTGTAAGTACAGTGCGATCTGGAATTAAAGAGAGCCACTGAGTTTCCCTGTGGGCATTTTACGTCATTTGCAAGAGTAAAATACATCATTAATTAGGTGTAGCAGAAGTACGCTCTGAGATATGTACAACTGAAAGTATGTAGCCTAAATTACAATGAGTGCAACAGCAGAAAAGCTTTCGACGTAGTTCCAGTACCAACGCATTAATAGTCAATCTGAAATCTACGTTTGCAGACTTGTGACTACCTTGGGACGTACCTGCCGTCGTCAATGCCCCACCTGTACCCTCCCGCACAAAGTGACGACTTGGAGAGGGAGCTGGAGAGAAGGCTGGCCCTCAAGTATGGATTCTGCGTCACATGCGGGATCTACACGGAGCACCAACAGGCAAGATATCACCCAGAGTAAAGGGAGTAGGTCAGGATGTGTTAAATTGCAGCTGTAAAGGTATATGCCTACGACACACTGTTTGATTTAAGTCAGTCTTGCTATCTGCCATATGCCCCCCCCCTTTCTTTTCTCTCTCTCTCACTCTCTTTTCCTCCCTCCTCTTTTCTCTCTCTCTCTCCCCCTCTCCCCTTCCTCCCTCTCCCTCCTTCCCTCCCTCCCTCTCCCTCTCCCTCTCCCTCCTTCCCTCCCTCCCTCTCCTCTCTTCCCTCCTCTCCCTCCTCCCTCCCTCCCTCTCCCTCTACCTCCCTCCGTCTCCCTCTCTTCCCCCTCCCCCTTTGTCTCTGACTCTCCCGCCCTTACGCCCCCGTCTTCCGCAGAGGTTCGGGCGAGCCCTGGCACGCGCTGCCGCCCTGGACCGCAGCGGGCGCCGGCGGAAGCGAAGCCGCCACACGCAGACGCACTGGACAGACTGGAACCGCAACGAGTCCCAGGCCGACGTGACGCAGGAC